TCTTCCCATGCTTCTCTGAAATCTTCATATTCGTTGCTTCTTATTGCATAGTAATATTCCATTACAATCAGGTACCACAATTTGTTTAGCAATTGTCCCAATTAATGGGCATCTACATTGTTCCCAGTTCTGACAACTTTTTTCTTTTAAAAACAAATTCTTTTGCTTTTGAACCAAAGGAACACAACAAAGATAGCCCTACAGCCAAAGACTTAAGCTAAAGCCATAAGCTGGAAACAGAACTGCCTCCACTAGACGACTCCTGGCAAACATTCCCAGAGGGAGCAACGCAGTGACATCACTGAAAACACCAGCAGCCTTGTAACAGTCATGAGTTGCCCTTGACATCTACTTTGTTTCCAGTTCTGATATCCCTTTAAATATCTAGAAGTCAGAATTAGTTCATATCAAAGACATTAAATGAAATGCCATAGTAAGAAAAACGTCAATAATAAAGTTCTCCCATATACATACGTCATTAGTGGGGAGAATGGACACACATGGAGTAGATACTGAGGGATCACGTGTAGCCAGGTTGCAAATGTGAAGGAGCACCACACGGCTCTGTGAAAGGGCCTTCTTCAGGTGATGCCATTGCACCGCTCCCTCTGGGAACACTTGCCACGAGTGATCCAGCGGGTGCTGCTCTGTTTCCAGCTTCTGGCTTCAGCTTAAGTCTTTGGCTGCTAGGGCTGTCTCTGTCATGCTGTTTTGCTTCAAAGCTCACGAACTAGGCTTCTAATGATTTCTTGAACTTAGGGCAGCCATCCTAGAGTTTTAAGTGTATATATTCTAAATATGGAAAAGGAGTGTGTTCCAGGCAAGAAGAACCAATTTTCATCAGTTTAACTTGGTCTACAGCTTATTAATTCATATTATAGAGCTGGAGTTCTTAATCTAGGGTGAACTTTTTTAAAAAATTGGTAACTATAGTTCAATTTAATTGGTTTCCTTCATAATCTTACGTATTTTATTTTGTGCATTTAAAAACATTATTCTGAGAAGGGGTCTATAATACAAAAAAAGACTAAGAACTCAATACAGAGTGCGCAATATCAATCTGAAAAAAAACAAACAAACAATGGTTTCAACTTCAATAATTTTGAGTGTTCTAGGCTTATCTGCATTCTAATTCCAAAGTCATGAATCCTTAATCAACTTCATCAGAAGAGGTCCAGGGGCAGAGAAACTTTAAGCTTACTAGGGTGGTTTAACCAAGATACCTTAACTATATGTCAATCAAAAAAGTATGCCATCATCTACAAAATAAGCCAGTACAAACTTTAAGTGGTTTAGGAGTCAATATTTCAGATCATTCATCCTTTAAACAAAACTATTTTAAGTTTAAGTTTTTTCACTTCATCTCTTTGCATAGCCCAAGCCAGCCAAGTCAACTAGCACTTACTAATGTTCCACACGGAATCCTCTCCAGCATCATCGGCATCCCCCTGCTTCCCTGGCTTCCTTTAAGGTCCAGTTAAAATCCCATCTTCAGGAAGCCTTTCCCTATTCTCCCTTAATTCTAATGCCTTCCCTCTGTTCATTATTTCCAATTTATCTTGTATATATCTTGTTTGCACATGGTTGTCTGCATGTTGTTTCCCCTATTGGACCGTGAGCTCCTTGAGAGCAGGGACTGTCTTTTAGCTTTCTTTGTATCCTTTAGCCCAGTGCCTGACACATAACAGGAGCTTGATAAATGTTTATTGCCTGACACTGACACTTCTAGACTTTCCCTATCATCAGCAAGCTTTCCTCATTTGAAGTACACCTTCTGTTCTGATATTAACCTGGCAAGATCTTTGTTGCTATCCTCCTCCAAATTGCAGGTTACCCTCATTTAAAAGACTATAGGACATAAAGGTGATAGGGACCATAGGGGTGATCTAGTAGATCCCTATCACTTTACAGATGTGGAAAAAGAAGCTCAGGGAGGGTAAGTGATTTGGCCAAGATCACAGAAGTGGTTGAGGTCAACGACTTATAAGTCTTTTTCCACCCTAGGCCCTGACCAGTAAAGTTAGTTGTTTCTTTCTTCTTTCTTCTTCTTTTCCTTCTTCTTCTCCTTTTCCTCCTTCCTCCTCCTCAATTCTTTTCTATTTATTTTTATTATTTTTTTGTTTTAAAAAAGTGGGACAATTTTCTTTTCTTCTGTGCAATTTTCATTTATGATTTCTTGAAATATAGCTCTGAAAAAAACAGGATTTTTAAAAGCCCATTGTGGGGGCAGGTAGGTGGCGCAATGGATAGGGCACTGGCCCTGAAGTCAGGAGGACCTGAGTTCAAATCCAGTCTCAGACCAGACACTTGACACTTACTAGCTGTGTGACCTGGGCAAATCACTTAACCCTAATTGCCTCACTCCCCCCTAAAAAAAGCCCATTATGACTCAAAACTACCTGACTAAGCAGTTAAACCCAAATCACTCTGGCTTTCACTAAATGGCCAAAAAACAGCTCCCAGCCCAAGCCTCTGTTGCTCATAGTTTAGGTTTTGGTGGCTTAGAATGTATGTAAATAGCAATTATTTTCTGTTCTGGCCAGAAACTCTGAGGGTCTTCCCCTCTCTGCTATTTTTGTGATGGTAAAGCAGGTCATCTTGTGTCTCAATTCTTACCCAGCCCTTAGTTATTGAATGGGCATTGTCTCAGACAAATAGAGACCTGGGAAAGAACTTAATTTAGAAAGGCCAAAGTCACCTACTGCATCCTGGGCCCTCACCAGTCATCTTGACTTTCATATGCCCCTGGACTTTGAAGACTCTGGAAGAGTGAGGCTGACAACTTAAATCCAACTCATTTGCAAGTCACTGGTCTTCGAGAATGAAGGATGAACAATAACAACAATAAAGTCTCTTCAAATGGCCTCCCGGTTCATCAGCCTCCTGAACTCTTTATGACTTATAAATCTACATCAGCTCAGATACTCAAAGGGTCACACCCAAAGGAATTCTGCCTCCATACTTTGAACTTTGAAATTCTCCTCTCTGATCACAATCTCCTCATCTAACCTCACCCACTACCTTACTCCTCTTAACTTTCTTTGTCCTAATCCTATCCCTCACTGTCCTCCCTGGTCAGAATCTGACCCAATCTGACACAACTTTCCTCCCTTCACAGTCTTGAACCTAAACTTAACCAATTCATCCATTGCACTGTCCTCTTCCAGAAAGATGATGCAGTGAGAGTTTGTCTCAACCCCACAATCTCAAAACATAACATTAAAAAAACTTAAAGTAACAAAAATTACAAGGAGAGGAAAAGAGAGAAACATTTTTGTACAATGTAAATTCTATTAAAAATACAGATTGATTTCAACCACAATGCCTCATTCATAAATTAATATTTCTGAGAGTGACCCCTTAGAAGCACCAATACAAATGTTTTTGGGAAAAAAATTAAAAAGGGATAGGGAAGGAGAAAATGGATAGCACAATCACAATCACAATCAAACTAATAGACTGGCTGGTTAGAAGAAATTTGCCTTCTAAAAGCTCCATTTTATGTAAAGGGCATTGAAAAATAAAAAAAATGTATGCCATAAATGCAACACAAATGAATAGAAAAATGGACTGCAGAGTAGCCTAGAAGAGGAAAGGACTATGGAAAAGGATGAAGCAAATTAACATTTCTTGCAAAAGGGGATCCACAATTGAATATTACTGAAATTAAGAGAGTGAAATGGTGGGGAGGGGAAGGAGAAGAGCAAGATTGTAAACTCTACTCTTACCTTGTTAGAGAATAAGGAAGATAAAAAAGATATAAGAAAGAGAGAATAGTATTACAGTTAAATTCAAGAAACGGGCTAAGGCAAGGTAACAGGAGGGAAGGGAGAAGGTCTGTAGGAGAGGAGACCATGTACTTCCTTTAAAGAAGAGGAAGAAAAAAAATGGAGGAAAATAAACAATAATTGTAACCTTAAATGTGAATGGATTAAGAAAGGCAACAATTGTGTTTCTTATATACAACAAATTGTTGGCATTTGTGTGTATTATTTTATTGGATTTCATTCTCATTATTTTATTGTTTTTCTTATTATTTTATTTCATCCATTCACAGTTAAAGTTATAATGTTGAGTTTGTACGTTTTTCCATTTATTTACATTACATACATTTCTTGTATGAAAATGAGAGCTGATACACATTGAGAGAAAGATTTGGTTTTTTTGGCTTATTTTTATAGCCACTATAGCACCTAAAACAGTTGTTTGTACATAGCAGATACTTAATACATATTGAATTAGACTGAAACAAAATTTACTATGCTTCAATCAACTAAAAAAGTAACAGTTATAATCATCATTTCAGATAATGCGATAATTAAAATTGACAAGTCAGGAGAAATAAATAGGGAAACTATATTATAAGTTAAGGAAAGACAAAGAAACAATACTCTATTACATATCTATTTATGGTATGACATCTAAGTTCTTAGAGAAAAAACTAAACAAACTGCAAAAAAAAGTCATAGTACAATTGTAGGAATCTTTAATATTTCTCTCTCAGAGATGGATAATCCTAACAAAGAAGATAAGCAAGAAAAAAACAGAACAGATTGTTGGAAAATTTAGACTTGTAAGACTTGTAGTGACTTCTAAATGGAAATATCAAAGACGATACATATTTTAGCATTATGTTATAACTATACCAAAATTGTTTATAAGTCATAAATACAGCATAAAGCACTCAAGACTTTGCTACACACTGATATGCATAATAAACACAGGAATTTAGGCTAGAACCTAGTGTCCTTAGCCTACCTTTTGTTATGGCTCAAAATAATTTGCAGCTAAGCCAAAGGAAATCTAAGGAATATGTCAAATTGTCTTAACCCCAAACCACATAATTATCTGTGACAGAAGGCTTTGATTTCCAGTCTAGTCCAAGGGTCAAAAAGGAAAGACTTAATCTTAGCTTGGGAGCACTCTATTTAGCTTTTGTTAGCTGTGTGTAGTGGCTATTAGCATGAGGTTTTAGCCATAGTTCGCAGATTGAGACTAACCTTAAAGAGATGAGCACAGAAGCATTGACTGAGAGCCCAGCAGTTCTTAGTGGAGGAATGCATCCAGCAGATACACAGTGTTCATCAAAGAATAAGCCTAGTGAGAGCAAGATGATGACATCATCAGAAGACATGGATCCTGCCATATCAGACGTACAAAGTGTCCTTCTATACATATTTTCCACATTTGGGGCCCTCATGCACAGTCCCTTTCATGCTCATTCTTACTACTGATATGTATATATTTGTGGGAAAAGGTATAGCATATTTATAGAAGGAATTTTTTATTTCAAATTGTGTTACTATGTTATTTCATTATATGCCTTTCTTTGAACTAAATGTTTCCTTTCATTGATTTAAAAAAAAAAAAAGAAACACCATTTGGGCCTCATGAGCTATCATGTGGATATGGACTCAGAGAGCACCTTAAGCCTGGGGTAACTATTTTGGGAACTCAACAAATTACACCAAAAGATGTCAATTCTGTTTCCATAAAATCTCTCAACTCTGTCCCTACTCCCCACTGACATTAGCACAACCCTAGTTTTGACCTTTATCACCACTCACCTGGAAGATTATAATAACCTCCTAATTGGTCTCCCAGATTTCAGTCTCTTTCCTCCTCTCCAAATCCATCCACAACACAGTTGCCAAAACAATCTTCCTAAGGCACAAATTCAATCATGTCATTCCCCTGCTCAAAAACCTTCAATGTCTCCTAATTGTCTCTGGGATAAAATACAAACTCCTTATTAGCCTGGTATTTAAGATTATGACAATCCATAACCCGACTTCAATCAATTTTTCCAGCCTTATTTTACATTACTCCCATTCACCTATTCTACAGTCTCACCATTTGGCATACTAACTATTCCTCTGACTTGATAAACCATTGCCCCCCACCTCTGTACACTGGCACAAGCCAGCCCCAACGTCCGGAATACACTTATAAAATGAAACTACCTAACTAACAGGATTGTTTTGAGGAGGGTACTTTGCAAATTATAATAAATCATCACATAGCAAAAGATTAAAGTTTTTGGTAATTGTGGGAACCTAAAAAAAAAAAATAAATAAATCATCACTATCCACTTTTCAAGCTCGATGTGACCTTAGAAATCACCTAATCCAGAGTTCTTAACCTAGGGTCCATTTAAAGGGGTCCAGGAAGTTGGATGGGAAAAAATATTATACTTTTATTTTCAATATAATTGGTTTCCTTTGTAATCATATGTATTTTATTGGATACATTTAAAAATATTATTCTGAGAAGTCCACAGGCTTCACCAGATTGCCAAGGCATCCACGATACAAAAAAAATTAAGAACCCCTGACCTAATCCAATCTCATTTTATGGATCAGGGAACTGAGGTCCAAAAAGATGGAGTGACTTGCCCAAGGTCACAAAGGGAATAACTGGCAGTCAATAGTCAAATCCACGGTCCCTAACTCCCAATCTAGTGTTCTTTCTATTACACCACACTTCCTCTATATGAGTGTGACTGATTATTATCCCAGTAAGTATTCAAAACAAATTTTATCACCAGAAGTGAGATCAATAAGTGATAAATTTGTTTGATTTAATTTTGATTTTCACAGAAAATCATGAAACAATCTCTGGTGATTGTAATCTGTAGAGGTAGAAAGAGTAACCAGTCTAATGAAAGCCCAAATCTTTTGAAGTTTTGGAGTAAAATAGACATGCAGCAGGTAGACACACAAAATAATTAATTCCAGAGAATCCTCACATCCTTCAGGATCTCTGGTTGTACCTCTCAGTGATAAGGCAACACTATTTCTGAGTTTCCTTACCTTAAAAAACAGTAAAAGAGGAGCCTGAACTAGATAATCTCAAAGGTCCTGTACAGCTCTAAGAGCTATGATTATATTGAAATTATGATATGTTTCTATGTATTCATGATCTGGATACCATGTTCAGCAGTGACGAATACAAGCCCTCCCGTTCTATACAATTCCTATCTATGTCTTTCCATGGATATTTCCATGTTCCACAGAGGAACATTATAAGATACCAAAATAATGTCAACTGACATTTAATAATAACATTAGCTAGTATATATATATGTGTGTGTGTGTGTGCACGCGCCCATACATATATATATCTTTAAGTTTTGTAAAGTGCTTTACAAATGTGATCTCATTTTATCCTCACAACCACCTGTGAGGGAGGTGCTATTATTATCTCCATTTGACAGATGAGGAAACTGAGACAAAGGTTAAGCAACTTGTTGAAAGTTCTGCAAAGTGTGTTTATATACATTACAGCATTTGAAACTCAAAACTATCCTATAAAGTAAGTACTACCAGACATTATTATTATCCCCATTTTATGAATAAGTAAACTAAAGCTAAGAGACATATCTCACATAAAAACTTCTTGAGATCAAGGACGTACATTTTTGTCTTTGTGTTTTTATCACCTAGCATAGTGTCTGTCACATGACAGATGCTTAATTACTGCCTGATGTTTAATTGATTTGTACTGACTACACTAGAATATTCAGGGTGCTTAAATGAATGCACATAATAAAACAAAATAGCTGTACCACCAAAGCTCCAGTATCCTCCACTTTCCCTGAAGAGCAAGGGGAAGTACAACTATATAGTTTTTCTGCAATTGGCACAATAATCAACACAATAACAAAAACCTTCTACATGACTTCTCTAAACTAGAGAGAAAGTCACAGAAAAAGGAAAGAACCTCTCTTAGGATTTTTGCCACAGTACCACATATTTTGGGGCAGCTAGATGGTGCCATGGATAGAGTACTGGGGTTGGAGTCAGGAAGACTCCTGTTTATAAGTTTAAATCTGGCTTCAGACACTTATTAGCTGTGTGACCATGGGCAAATCAGTTAACCCTGTTTGCTTCAGTCTCCTTATCTGTAAAATTAGCTGCAGAAGGAAATGTCAAACCTCTCCAGTATCTTTGCCAAGAAAACCTCAAATGGAGTCACAAAGAGTTGGACATGACTGAAATGACTGAACGACAAATTAGGATGTAAGCTCAGCTTTTGCAGGCTCACTGAAAACATCTTTGTGATAGCAACCACCACTACCACATATTTTTGGTGATCTATAAATATTAACTATAAATATTTAAATGTGAGATCTTTGTCCAGCCAGCAGACATAACAACTAGAGAAATCAAACCATATCAATATTCTCATTTCTACTTTACCGGATTTCTCATATAAAGTCTCTTCCCTCTATTTGTGCAGCCATCACTTTAGTTCAGCCTGTCATTACCCTTCACCTGGAATACTGCAATAGTCTTCTAATTGTACTCCCTGCCAAAGGTCTCCCTACCTCTAACCCATCGTTCCCACATCTCCCAAACTTATCTTCTAAAGCATAGGCATGATCATATTATACCACAGTACCACTCTAGTCACATCCTATTATTTCTATGATCAGATATGAACTCCACTTGGCTTTTAAAGTTCTTTAAGACTTCTTATCTTTCCAGTCTTTTTACCCACTACTCCCCTCTACACAATCTACAATCCAGCCATAATGGCCTACACATTGTTCCTAACAAATGACTCTATCCCATTACTGTGTCCTTGCACTGACTATTCCCCAAGCCTAGAATGTTCTCCTTCCTAGCTTCCTTAAAGACTCTACTCAAATACCACCTTCTGCAAAAGGCTTCTTCTGGTCTCTCCACCTGCCAAGTGCCTTCCCCTATAAAGTGTCCTTGTCCCTACTCTGTCTCTATCACATGTGTACATCCTGTCTTTCCCATTAGAACATTAAGCTCCTTGAGGTAGGACTGTTTTTGCCTTACCTTTGTATCCCCATTATGTGAGATACACAGTGCCTGGCACATACTACGTGCTAATGGATGTTTGTTTATTGATCGAGGGCATTTCTAAGTAGATGAAACATGCTTTGCAATTATAGAAATGACCGAAGTTGCAAATAAAAAGTTCCCACTTCCCCATTATAGATGTAGTTTGCTTTAACCAGTTACTCCTTCAAACTTTTAAGCCATTCCTTTTATAGAATATAATAGTCTCGCCATGCACCTGGGGCAAGTTACTTCCCTCTCTGAACCTCAGTTTCCTCACCTATAAAATAAAATGATTAAACTACATGACCTCAAAGGTCCCTTTCCAGCTCTTAAAAAATCCTGATTATAACCACTGCAGATTGCCACCTCTTCCATAAATCCTTCCATAGCATTCCAACCCAAAGTGATCTCTCTTTCCTTGGAATTCAATTAATCTCATGTAGGATAGTGATTATGCCAAAAGAGTGCAAGCTCTGACAGATTCTATCACACTGGAAAGGTTTGATCACAGCCCAGTCAAAAGCTGAGCCTGCTATTCAAAGAATATCCTAGCTCAATATGAAGAAACTCATCATCTGTAGGGTGGCCAGTAGATGATGAATTTTTTGACTGTGCAAATCCACAAAACAAAGAAAAATGAAACGTCCTCAGTCCTGTGAGGCCTCCTTTCATTTCCACAATAATGAAAAGTGGAATGTTAGAAAAGGGGACAGAGGATGATAAACATGTATTTTAAACCAGCTATAAATATTCACTGTGAAGACTTAAATGAGAGACCTCTGTCTAATGACCATGAGCAAATATACTACTGAGGAATTAAACTACGTCAATATTGATTGTTTCAATGCAAATGAATAATAATGGTTGATTTCTTTATAGTGGCTCATCAGGTTTGCAAAGTGCTCTACATACATTATCTCATTTGATCCTTAAGGATATTCCTGCAATGCAGGCATTATAGTTACTATTATCCCATTTTATAGATAAGAAAATGAGAGCTCTGACAGGTTACATGACTTACCCAGACTATGCGAGTGGTAGACAACAGGCATGGAAAGCAAACCTAAGCAGACTCTCTCCAAATCCAGCACTCTTTCTAATATATTTCAATGCCAAAAGATATAAAGAAGGTAGAGCAAAAAAGAAGAACGGTTTACAAGCTCTTGGAGAGACTAATAAAGGAGTTGGCTTAATACAACCCAAGAAGAGCCTCAAAAATAATCATTTTGTGGGACACTTGACTATCTTACCTCGGAGAACTTAAGATACCCATAATAATAA